CATTACAGCGCCAAGCTACAAACAATTAAGCAAACTCTCACAACTTCAAAACACTCAATTAAATTTACTTACAGTGACTTTCCTTGCCATTTTAAAGTGGACAGAGATAAACTTGCGTTGACTAATCGTCGATGGATGTGTAAAAAAGGCAAAAGATTGACGATTACCACTAACTTTAAGGTGCGAAATTTTAGGCAGCGGCAAAAAAATTCGGCCCGTGGGCCGTATCGTAAAAAGCTGGACCGGTCACGTGCGTATAATTAGCCAATCAAATTCGAGGATTTAGGATTCCGGCCCGCTCAGATGCTTAAGGAAAAAAAATAAAAAAGGTTATCTTATAGTCGCTGCATTCATTCCGAGAAAAAAAAAACCTGTTAACAAAATAGCACCTTTCGTAAGGTTGTATGCCTGATCTCTGATCTCCTCCCTAGCGGACAGCAAACAATAGCGTCTTAAACAATAGCGTCTTAATATTTGAATTCTGTTATTCTTGCAGAGCCATTCTCTGAAGACAACCAAAGAAGACCGTCGAATATTTGGTTGTTCATCGTTTCCTTATGTACACAGATTACTCAAGCTGTTTTATCACTCTGCTGTCAGACTGTACAGTCTATAATTGTGATGAGTAACTTAATGATTGGCGAGTAAACATAGAGCTGTAACCAGGGTAGGACAAATTAAAACAGTACTGAAAAACGTTCAGTGGTTAAAATGATTAAAACAGCTCGATTCGCGCGCCAACATCTTCATTCTTTAAAGGCTATAGACTGAAAGCGGAAAGCTTATGTTTTAATCTTTTTAACCAAAGAACGTTCTTCACTACTTATTAAATTAGCGATTAGCGCTTATTCCCCACTTGCCTGGTTGTGTCTTCTGTCCCCACGACTTCCTTCCACCAACGTCGACCCGTTTTGTAAGGTTTTTGTGTGTTTTTATACAAAAAGCAAAGCTTAAATCGACTTGCCTGAGAAACCCAGCGAACTTAAAGTAACTTAAAGTGGAGTTTACACTAAGTGTTGATCATGTATTTCGACACTTACAAACCAGACTGCATTAACTCGATTTTTTACTAAAGTTACGCATCCTTTTCCTTGAGAGGCGCGGGTCAATTTCAACCGCGTTGATTACCGATGAGCCAGAGTATGGAAATTTGCTGCTCCTGTTAAAGTGATCTACTTTTTGAAAACTTTTTCTCCTGTGATTTTCCAAACTTGGACTTTTTTTGCCTAGTATTGCCTGGTTAGATATTTTGCGAATGTTTTGTAACCACGAATAGTAAGGGTCTCAAACTGAGTCTTTTCGTCCTTCTTGCAACCCAAGCTCAAACTCAACTTGTACCGAGTTCTCTTCCCTGCGAGTCGTGAAGGAATGGAACTGATGACGTATCTGTTGGCTGAGAGCAGACGTTCGCAAGCTCAGTTGATGTGCGGTTACCACCACTGGGTAAAACGTATGGGTGACGCTACTTCGTAATCTAGAGTGAAGCGAGCGTATTTCCTTCTTGAAACGACTGTGTCTGAATGGGTAAAGAAACGGATTCACCAGCGAGTTCAGGTTAAAGCACGTGACAGGAAGCCAACCACCAACAATAAACAAAGAGCGCACGCTCGAGAATGACTTAGCCATATGCAGAACGTCCAAGAATGAGTATACGTAGACCAGTAAAAGAACAGTAGGCAGAGTAAACAAGATAAAATTAGATGACACCAGCACTGCGATTTTTCTCGCTAGCCTCGCTTCGCGTTTAATTCCGAACTGTACACTGGATTTCCTTGCATAGCAGAAGATCAAAACGTACAGTCCCAGGCTAATTAAATAAAGGAACACGAATAAACCAGAAATGCTCAAGGTGACGTTTGATGTCTCTAGGATAACCTTACCCTTATGAAAAGGCATGGTACATTGAAACCACTTGTGGTATTTCAGCGTTTTTACACCCAACAGAGGCAAGCTTGCAAAGACGATAGCGGCTATCCATACAAAGGACAAGAGAGCGATCAACGTTCTCTTCTCGATCTTACCTCTGCATCTCTGGAAGTAAACGATGACTAGGTATCTTTCTAAAGTCAACATCAATGAGTTAATAACGGCGGTGACTTGACCTACAGTGAATATCATTCCCATGTACGTGCAAATCGAGGTATCGCTATCGTTGTCCATAATAGCGCGTGGCTTAACGTTGTATGAGTCACTGAATAAGTTGTTTTTGGCAATCGCCACGCCATGTACGCCAATGAGAAGGTCGCTTAACGCCACACTGCCAACTAAGATAAACGAACTGTTGTTCCTGAGCAATTTTGAAGAGATAATCACAACCAGGACGATAAGATTAAGGACGATGATCAATCCCCCCAATGCATACTGGGAAAGAAACAGCTTCCGAGGCATGCTGTATAGCTGTCTCAGGTACGGTACTATGACGTCATAGTTGTAGCATTCCGAGTTGTAGTCACAGAAACATTGTGGTGAGAACCCTTGTTTCACGAACTGTGCCGAAACGCCATATTCTACTTCTTTGTGATAATAAAAATCTTTTAAAGTTACGTAACACGTCATCTCTTCGTCATCTTCACCGCTAAACCCGTCCCCACTGTCCTCCTCATCGCCCATTTCGTCATCATCTAAATGCGTTTCATTTTTCAAGATCTTAATTAGATCACATGTGGAGCAGTGTTTGCTCCACGTGATCCCTAGGATCTTCTTGAGCATGGGCAACTTTAAAAGCCACTGACTTGGTATCCAATCATCATTTCCGTTCATTTTAAGATTTTCTAACAGTGGCAAATCTCTCGACGGATCTCCCTTCCATTCTTTGACATTATTATTTTGAAGATCTCTGAAGTAATAAAAATAGATATATTTTTATTAGCGCTGCATTTAAAATATAGGCCGAGAAGCATAAAAGCTTCATATACATGTAAGTGCCATAGCCAAATATTTTAGAAAATAGCCTTAAGAAAATACGCGCCCTGATTGGTTTAAAACTGTGTTTTTATTAAACAACTAGATTATGAGCTCGAGATTTCTATCGCGCGATAGTTGACGAAAGCGCACCCTGAGTCAACTATCACGCGATAGAAATCAAGATCGAATAATCTAATTATTTTGGTATAAATCTACCAGTCGTTCAAAACTTTATCTAAATCCTCTCCACAAACACTTCGAACAAGCGTACACTGCTACGCTACTCACTATCTATCACAGATTATATAATAACCCAAGTTATTCTCCCATTTTGATTGGTTCTCGCCTATGATCTATTAGAGGACAGACGCACGATTGACGTCATCATTTCAAAGTT